AGGAAAGCCAGTTCACCTAACAACCATGATACTAACTTAACAGCTGCAGTGATTCACTGACAAGCAACATCATAAGATGAGGCAAAACTCACTTAGCAACCATCTCACTTAGCAGTGGAAATGTCAGGCTCAATTGGCTTCGTAAATGGAGGTCTACCTATAACAAAAGAAGGAATGAATGGTATACATCTATGGAATCAGCAGAAGAAAAAGAACAAACTCTGATTTTGGGACGGATTGCAGCAACTACCTGTCCATGAACTTGTAAACTATTTTATCAAGACACGTTAGCTTTGGCTACTTTTCAGGCAGACAAACAGTTCTGTTGATTTAAGCCTCGTTCCTTCACCTTAATTTTTGACACTGAACATATTTGATGTCCTTGTCCATGCATAGTGGAAAAATCTTCCATTTTGATGTCACATAAAATGCTCCCCATGGCTCCATGTTTGGAGCAGAGATGTCCAACGTTGGCACCTTTAAGACTTGTGGACTCCAACTTCCAGAATTCCTCATCCAGCCATACCAGCTGGGGAATTGTGGGAGTCGAAGTCCTCAAGTCTTAAAGTTGCTGAAATTGGACACCTCTAGAGAACAGCATGGCTGGTAAAGGAAACAAACACATGGATCTGTAATGCTGAGAAAGGTGGAAGAAATGAAAAGAGGAGGATGACCGGTAGCAAGATGAATGGACTTCATTACAACTGCAATGGTTGTCATGTTGGATGGTCTAAAGGGCTAGTTTTGAGGACAGATCATTCTAGAAAGGATTAAATTAGTTGCTAAGACTGAATGTCAACTGGATAGCACTTTATCCCTATTAGCTAGGTCAATAAGGGAGCTGAGATTTGACACAAAGTCTTCCATATGTATAATTGACACTACCTTTGTGCATCATTCCTATATAATTTTGTATTCTTAAAATACCCTTTTCTGCACTGGTCTCCTGGGATTAATTTGACTGACTGACTAGGAGAGTTGCTTTCTTCTTTTTGTACAATCTGCATTTTTTCCCCTTATCTAATCAAACTTTGACTAGATGTCCCCACATATTTATTTTTCCTTTCCTCTTGTTTACAGGACCTTCAGCAAATATTGCATCCTCTCAGGTAAGCCAATGCAAGTGGCAGGTGGTGGTGGGGACAGCGAACAGAAGCACTGCATAAAAAGGTCCAGGGGACATCAGGTCCTCAGATGTGTACCTTCCTTCCATCGGTGTACATCATCTCTGAACATAGCCATGAATTCCTTGGTAACTCTCGTACTCCTGGGCCAGATTATAGGATGCACGTTTAG